GAATTTTTTTCTTTAAAAACCATTAATTCATATTGGAGAGTATTTCCCTTTTGTTGTTAATTTCCTTTCTTAAAACGATATTCTGAAAACAAAACACCTAGAAACATCTTTTTCCCATTGGTTTGTTCTTTATTATTTTTTCCTTGCTGCTTTTCCCCCAGAAGCACCAGTTGCTTCACTGAGCAACATCTGGATGGAGCATTTCATACGTGAGGTTAACATCTTTATTATTTCATTGTATCCTTGAGCCTTAGCTCCACTCTCTAAAACTTTTTTCCACATATTTTCCGCCACTAAATCAGATATGTGATGAGCTCCTTTCCTAGGCAAATATCGAGAAGTGCAAATATTAAAAGCCTGCTTCGGCCGGCAGAAGGGCTGACTAATGGAACTCTATACAGGTTCTGAAAAACCAGAACATCCCTCATGTGCACACTGAAGTGAACAGCAGAAATATTACTTTTCAAATTGATAAACAACACAAGACTCAAAACCTCTACAATTAGAAGGCTTATAAACCATAATTTTAAATGTTTACCTTAGCTGTAAGTAGATTTACAATGTACTTTAGTATTATTCATTAGCAATTCTTAAACTTGATGATATTCAGCATAGATATATTGAAGACATAATGGTAACAACACCCAGGTCCTTGGTTAGTTTCATGCACAGTTGTTAGCTCCCTCCAAATGTAACTCCTGGTAGCTACAAGGGTTTAGGCTGTCAGTGATATCTACATAAAAGCGCATGGCGGAGTTAAGTCTAGTTTCTAACATTTATTGAGCATTTACTATGTGCCATGCCTTTTAATAAGCCTTTCACATGCATTATCTTATTTAATCTTCAAATCAACTCTATGAGAAATGTACTGCTTATACCACTATTTTAAGGATGAGAAAACTGGACCTTTACAAGGTCATGTAATTTGCTCAAGAGTACATAGTCTAGTGATGGGCCAGAATTTGAATCTAAGTCATCTGAATCCAGACCCTGAGCTCCCAACTATTAAGACGAGGAGAGAAGTTAGGCCCTGCTTCTCTCTCTTACTTTTACACAGCGGTCCTCTACCTACACACATTTATTTAATTAATCTTTTAATAACCTACCAAATAGACCCCAACCACATGAGAGGAATCAGATGAGAGGGTCACACTGTAGATATGTTTTCCAGGCCTGTTATATGACACTGTAAGATTTATAAGATATCTTTTATTAAAGCAAAAGAATTTTAAAACAAAGCAAACCACCCAAAAGAACAATGGGAACAATTTGGCTTGTAGACCATGATCTTAGGAAATCCAGTCAATTGAAAAAATATATCTCTAATACAAGGAAATCAGTAAATGACACTGCTGGAAAGAACTGAACTTCCTATAAAGTACAAATCCCATTTCCCATGGAAAATGCAATAATTTATTTCTTTAGTACAGCTTTCCAGTAAAGAATGCCATTAAACTGGATGCACTGCTGTGACTGGCTGCATACTCTACCCAATAGAATATATACAAGCAAAGAGGAAACACGCTGTCTAGAAAAAATATACAATTTCCTTTTATTTCCTCTTCTGAGTAGAACAACTCTTCTTTGGGGAACAAATCAGGGGCTTATAACAATTCACTACATAACATTTTCCATTCTGACAGCCAGTAAAAATGAGAAACCGGGAGAGTCAATGAAGATGACCCAATTATTCTCAGAAAGGCAAGGGTTCCTGTGGTGGGTGCCTCACAAGGGCTTCTTATCCAGCATGAAGATGAGCTGCCTACAATCCAGATCTCCCCCAAGTGAGCAAGAATCCACGGAGGAAAAGCACAGATCCGTTAAGTAATCCATATTTTATTCCACCTTGACTGAAACATCAGTTGGGTGGAGATGAGTAGTAGGAAATAAAGCCATAAAGATAGGTGGGTTTATATACTGTAGGGATCTCAAAGTGCTAAGGCGGGCTGTCACTGATTCAGTGGCCAGCTGTGGAACCATAGAAGGATTCTAAGAAGAGCAGTAACATGACTATAACCTATGGAGATCAACGGGCAAACATTACAGGATAGGCCAAAGGTAGAAGAGATGAAAGGCAGAAAGACTAGGTAAGAGGCAAGCTATGGAAACAACCTAAGTGTCCATCTATGGGTGAATGCATAAAGGAGATGTGCATATATATGTGTGTGTGTGTGGGTGTGTGGGTGGGTGTATGTATATGTATATATAAAATATATATATATATACACACACACACACGTACATTAGCATATTACTCAGCCATGAGAAAGAAGGCAATCCTGCTGTGTGTGAGGGTAGAACTTTCAGGCATTGTGCTAAGTGAAATAAGTCAAACAGAGAAAGAGAAAGACAAATGTTATATGATATCACTTATATGTGGAACCTAGAAAAGCTAAACTTCTAGAAACAGAGTAGAATGATGGTTGCCAGGGGTTGATGGGTGGAAGAAATGAGGAGATATTGGTCAAAAGGTATAAACTTCCACTTCTAGGATAAGTTCTGGGGATCTATCATGGTGATTATAGTTAACAATATTGCATGATTCACTTGAAAGTTAAGAGAGAGGATCTTAAATGTTTTCACCACAAGAAAAGAAATGGTAATTATGTGAGGTGGTGGAGGTATTAACTAATATTACTGTGGTAATCATTTGGCAATATGTATAAAATGTATCAAATGAACATGTTTGATAAACTTATATAATGTTATATATGTCAACTATATCTCAATAAAGCTGGGGAACTTGATAGTTGTTGTGATGGTTAACTTTCATTGTATTTGCTTATAATATATTTCACTGCACTTTAGCAAAATTAATCTCATGACTTCAAAGAATGTATCCATTTTCTATTATGTTGCCTATTAGACAGTTTATGTGGGTCTTTTTTATTGATTAGTTCAATGGGATAGGATATCCTTGCAAAGTTCTGAGGCTTGAAAATGACAGACCTGTATGTAATATGTATACCAATACCAAATTAGTCAACAGAGTGCTCATTAGAGTATAGTGGAAGTAGCCCTTTTTGATGTCTGAGTCCAAGTAAAGAACTTGGACTAGTCAGAATACTCTCTCCAGCAGGCCTGAGTGCATGTCAGAAGGCTGACTGCCTACCCCGAGACCACAAAGCTGGAAGGGCACGAGTATCAGTGCTCTAGTCACCCCTAGATGCACCCAGACTTCAAGCAAATCCTTCGCAAGTACCAGACTATAAGGGAGGAAGCCCCAGATTCTAGACTCCAATCACTAGAGTCACTTCCTGCTGTTTGAGTCCTCCCAGCTGAGGCCCCAGACATCATGAAGTGGAGATAAGCCTTCCTGCTGTGCCCAGCCCATATTCCTGACCCAAAGAATCTATGAGCATAACAAAATGGCTTTTTTTACATTATGAAGTTTTAGGGTGGTTGATTATGCAGTAATAGGTAGCTAGCACCCTATTTACAAGACAGGTGATAAATCCACTGGTTGTGGAGCCCACACCTAGAATATGACACTTAATTCTGGGTGACATATTCCAAAAGACTAAAAATCAAACAGACTCAGAAGAGAGTAACAAGAATGTTCATTTATAGGGGGAAAGATGAAAGGATTGGCGATATTCAAACTAGAAAAGAGAACAAGGGTACATGTTAATTGTCTTCAAATATTTGATGGGCTATCATGAATGAAAATGAAAACAATTATTCTGTAAATTCCCAGAAGAGAGGCCTAGGGACAGTGAGCAGAAGCTGGAGGGAGTGCGATGTCAGATGGAAGAACTTTCTAATACTCAGAGCTTTCCAGGAAAGAAGAGGCAGCCTCAGGAGGTAGTGAGTTCCCTAACATTCAAGACAATCAAACATAGTCTAGATGATCACCACCTGGTGGGTGGGTTTGGAGAGAATTCATTTATTGACCAGAAGTTTGAATGAAATGCTCTTACTTTAAGGTTACACTGTAACACTGAGATGTGTTTAATCTAAAGATCAACCCCATTTCCTTGTGCTAAGAAATCTAATCCCAACACATGTTGAGCAGAGGAAAAAAAATACAAGATGAATAAATTAAATGAAAAGCAATACCCAGGTATAAATAGAAAGTGATGGGAACTTTAGAGGCAGAAATGGCAAACGAACAGGAAAATATAATCCTGCATAGCAGCAAATAAACTTTTAAAAAGATAAAAAGCATGAAGCATAAACTAAGGAAGAGAGAAAACGAAAGACATCAATCACGTCACAGGTGATACTGGGTAGAGAGGATGCCTTTCTCTTTCTTGAGAAATGTTTATTCATTGTTAAGACTTTTCTCTCCTGTCCGTGGGAAAGACAGAGCAGAAGGACACGGCAGTGCAGCAGCAAAGGGACTGAGGTCTGAGTGGCAAAATGAGCGAAGCTCTTCAGCGATCACCGCATTTCTGGCCTCCAATAGGTCTGTGTGCCTACAGGGTCAAGCGCCCTTGCCCAGAGGCCGCTGTGGATAACGTCGGATGTAAGAATGACTAAGGGAAGCGAGAAAAACTGGAAATTAAACCCTGGTTTCCGAACAAAGCCAATGTGGAAAAAATGCACAAACCACCTAGAAAATGAGATGTGTCTAGAGCAAAGCCACGAAGGAAACAAAAAAGAAAACGTTAAAAAGTTATCTCAAACACATTTCATCTGAACTTGATCAGCATTTGTAATCAACGTCTAACATTTCATAATACCCTTTAACCTTAGTTACGCAACCCGCTGAACAAGTCATCTCATTGTTACCGCGTTTGGAGGAAGAGTGGAGACTCTTTTCATGTTGATAAGAGATAGAAAAGGGAGTCACTCCCAGGAAAGAAAAGCGGTCTGAGTCAACTCCTGGAGCCGAAGGGTAAGGCGGTGATAATCTTTCGCTTGCCTTAACCCTTTCAAAGATTCATCGAACCAGAAGTTAGAAATTCACGTAACTGATAAAAAGAAGTAATTTTCATTTAAACAAACAGAAACTTTTCATTAGAAAACAAAAATAGAAATTGTATCTTATTACTCACCCATTTCCTAGGTCGGCCTCTTGGCCGTTTTTCTCCAGTGGCTTCTGCTTTCTGCAAAATGAAAAAGGAAGTCATATGGTTTCCTACCTGACATTATTTATAGTGCCGCACCAAGGGACACGGTTCAGGTAAGCACGCTCCGAGCTGCAGAGGAGGTGTTGAGACTGTTTTAACAATCTCTCTTTTTAGGTTCATCTCCTCTATTTTTGATTCTTCTTTGTTTTTCTCATTGTGTGATACGAACAGATATCTATACAACCCTCACCGCGAAAAGACTCCCCTGGAGTGACTTTCTTTTATTTCTATCCATAATAAACAAAAATGATTCCCACATATCCATAATTATATAAAGTATTTCAGAAAATTAATGTCTCTTAAATGATGATTTCTTTTCCATGTCACTGAAGTCACAAAAATTAATACTGATGTATTGCTTTATGACATGCAAAGCACATCTACCTACACTGCTAGTCAAAAATAAGTCCAAGCTTAAATAAAACAAAGGATTCTGAGTTTTAAAAAAATATTTGCATATTTCGACATGATTTCCTATTCCTTGCCAAAACACAAAACAGTCACCTGTCAATCAGTTCACCTAAAGCAGAGGGAAATAAAGCTAGAAAAAATCATCAGCGTTTGTCCCTGAAATGGAAACTATGGATATTAAAAATAATTAATAAATATGTACATTAACTATAATTCCACACTTAACACAGACATTATATATACATACATATATATGTATTTTCTAACTACATTGAGAGTTTGTTTCATTGTTTTACTTCGCAGATTTTTCTAGTATCATGGTTATTTTTTCCCTTTTGAATAAAAATTTTCTATTAAGTAATTTCCCGGTGTTTATTCCCCCTATTCCAATCCCAGATACACCAACACACACACACACACACACACACACACACACCACATACACCTTCTATAAAAACAGGATAAAGAGCCCTGGCCAGTGACTCAGTTGGCTGAGCATCGTCCCAAACACCAACAGGTGATCAGTTTAGTTTCTGGTCAAGGCACATGCCCAAGTTGCAGGTTTGGTTCCCAGTTGGGGTGGGTAAGGGAGGCAACTGATCTATGTTTCTCTCTCATATCAATATTTCTCTCTCTCCCTCTCCTTTCTGCTCTAAGTTAAAAAAAAAAAAAAATCATTAAAAAACCAGGATAAAGAAAACTTAGTGCATACTCCTGTGTATGAGAATCATCCCAAGGCTATATAAACACAAAAATATAAGTAACCTGAGCCAGGATAACTTGTTTTGCATTTCACTTTCATTACCTGGGGTAGCAGCCAGTAGGTACTTAATACAATGATACTAAAATTACCTGTTATAATTGTCTACACTGCCAAATGAGAATCTCCTCTTTCTCTCTTCAGTCTACCTGGTAAAAATAGATGGAGATGGATGACAGATAGGTAGGTAGATAGATAATAGATAGATGCAGACAGACAGACAAAATAAGCTTCAAGATTTCTCACCAAATAGTATCTCCCTTGCCTGGCAGTAGTATCCACAGGTGCCATGAATTAGCCCAAACTCTGTATAATTATAATGTTAGTTCACATTTATCTAGCATTTAAAATACCAAAGGCAAAGGGCTAAGTCATTCACATGTTATTTTAATCCTTACAACAGCCTTAAAAGGTAGGTATTATTTTTCTCTTACTTTTGCAGATGAACAACTAAGTTCTAGATAGGGGAGGTAAATAATTCAAGGTCACACACAAAGCTGGTAAACAGCAGATCTGGGATTTGAACCAAGTTCTGTTGGGCTCTAAGGATTGGGTTCCTATCCTCCTAGCAATGCTGCTAGCTTTCCACAGGCATTTGCTACCACGAGGAGATATTTTAGTTTACTGAAGTCCCCACCGATGCAGCTAATTTCCCAGAACAGAAGGAAATCTGGTGGAGCCTGTCTATAAAGGTCAGACTGGGTGCTCTGAATCGTTGCTTCCTACCTTTCGGTGGCTCCACAGAGGAATCACTTATTTTCAGGGGTTAGTGGCACTGTCTTAACTTCAGTCATAAGGGCATGAATTAAATTGAGAGCCTGGAGTACCCGAGAACCACATCCTCTTTCTGAGTGTTGTCTCCGGGAGACACAGAGGTATCTTAACAGGAACACAGACCCCACTTTGGAAAGCTTAGGCTCAAATTCTGGCTCTGACATTTTAGCTTTAGGACTTTGGGCAGTCCCTGAAAACCCCAATTTGTTCTCACATGTGAAATGGAGATAATGCCTCCTGTGAGGAGAGAAGTGCCCTCCATAAATGAGGTGCACTAATGGAACTCTTAAAGGGAAAGTTTTCCTTCAGGTTAGTCCAATCTCACAGAAGGTTCGGTCAATGCAAATATTCCATTACACCCATCTGTCACCTTTAGAATGAAGCTTTTAAGAAACCCTTTGGCTAGTACATAGTGAGTTACACAAGTTCAAAATTGCCTAATACAGAAGCAGTGTCTGATTTAGTCTTTGGGAGCATAATTTACCCAGTACTAAATTACACAAACATGGAAGACAGAAATTCTCCCTAATGGGCTTGGGGATGATAGGTGGAGTTGAGGGAGGAGGCTATTGACCTTGAAGGCTAACGGTGCTACACCAGGCTTTCTCTGCATGGTTGTTAGGTTTCAGGGGCCACGATGTGATCCAGGTGTATCTAAATTCTGTTGAAGAGAGAGTTTTTCGTGAAAGAGTTTCACTGCATTTCAAAGTCGGAGAAAGCAAATCTCTCAGAGAAAGAGAGAAAGCCCTGCAAATAAGAGGATTTGAAAATGAGCATCTCATTTACAAAAAGTCTATTCAAAAACAAAATTCACAGCATTAGCTAAAGAGCAAAATATCACGACTGTCACTTGGACTTGTTAAAAGCAAACTTGCTCCATGGTCTTCAGGCCAGTGTTACATGTAAACTGAAACCCTACTCGGAGACTGCATCTAGAAGGAACACATTAGCTGTGCTGTGCAGCCTCGAGCTGGGAGGTTTGCATTGTTCTTTAAAACCCACATTATTTAATCTTTCCGATCAAACTTCACAAAGGCTGAAAAACAAGTTAGGATTTGAGTTTGTAAACCAGCATAGACCCAGGGTTTGCACAGAGTGCAAAACACAGGCTTTTAAACCCCGCCCCCCCCATGTTTAATGCCCTTCAGGATATTATTTTTCCATAGGAGACAAACAAAACATTCCGGGGGCTTGTTTTGTTTTTAATATGTCAACATATGCATACTGTGGGGGGTATATTTGGTTTTCCTTTGCTGTAGTGGCATTGGGTTCTATACTGCAAACCCATGTACAACTGAGACAAAAACACATTCTAAGTTTTTCCTGCTTATCCTGGGCAGGGGGGTGGAGGGGTGGGGGTGAGGGTGGAAATTCTACATTTGCAAGAACTGAAATTTCAGACTATGACCAGCACTGTTATACTACCAATATTTACAGCTATCATATAATATCTTGTTAAAAATGTTATTTCTTCCTTGCCTGTCTTCATTCATATTGATTCTTTTTTAAGTTCAGATTCAGAATTATCTCTTTAATTTTATAATATGCTCAGAAGCAAGTTCATGAGGGCTGGCAGAAATATTAGATGGGAAATGTAATTATTTCTTTCTCTAAGAAGTTCTGATACTCCAGGCTTTTGAATGCACTCTGCACTTAAAAAAATAATTAAGGAAGGAAATTCACCAGGCAAATACAGCTCTGGCATTTGGAACCAGTGCTTTGCCTGGTGCACAAGATATGCTTGCTATGTTTTTATTGAGGAAGGAAAGAAAGAAACACTACTGTTTATGGCATGTGTGTGCCTTGTTTCCCTCTTACTGTCAGAATTCTACAACTTGGTAGGACTTCTGGGTAACTTTAGAGAGCATTTCATCCAGCCCCTTCCTTTAACAAATAAAACTTCTGGGTGTCTTATGATCTCCAAAAGCATAGCCTTGTCATTTATTTGGGGTCCAGAGGTCAGTGGATATCGGCTGGAGCTGGCACACATTTGCAGTCCTTTTATAAGCTTGTAAAGAGCTGCCCTCCAAAGGTTTCTCAAAACCTAACTTCCAACCTGCATTTCAGGTTACTACAGATAACAATCTACCTTCTAGCAAACATCTTACAAAATATCTGACAGCATATTGTAGAGGAAAGATAACAGGCTTTAGAATGAGATGTGAATTCAAACCCAGGTGCCATCATTTGCTAGAGTTGAACACTGGATATGTCAGTTTCTCATTTGTGAAATGAAGACCAAAATGCCTACATCAGAGGCATTACATATACATAATGTATATGTAAAGTGCCTGACAAAAGCGACAGCATTTAGTAGGTACTCAAATGTAATTTCTTCTTCCCTCCACATTTTAAAATGTTACCAGTAAAAAAAATTCCTCCCAGCCCTGGCCGGTTTGGCGCAGTGGTTAGAGCCTTGGCCTGTGGACTGAAGGGTCTAGGGTTCCATTCCGGCCAAGGGCACATGCCTCGGTTGCAGGCTCGATCCCCAGCCCTCTTCGGGGCATGTGCTGGAGGCAACCAATCGATGTGCCTCTCTCACATCAGTGTTTCTCTCTCTCTCCCCTCTGTCTCTCCCCCTTCTTTCTTTCTACTCTCTCTACGAAGCCATGAAAAAAACATCAGCGGGTGAGGATTCACAAAAAACACCAGAACTGTGCCAGAGGCGGCGGCCTCCAGGGTGGCAAAGACAGGCCGAGGGAACGGGCCTGAAAACTGCAGGGCAAATGGTAGTTTTAGACAACAGCAGACAAGCTCTGCCCAAGCACATAGGCGTTCCTGTGTGGAGTGATTTTGTTGTGGAAAGACTTTCTCAGCTCTAATTACTCCCGATAGCTGTAATTTACAAGTTTTAGGTGGATAAAAATCACCAAGATTCACACATTTTCAGACCAACAGCTGTCACTATTAGTGAGCAAATCGCTGAGTCTTCTGCACAGTGGCAGCGGCTACCTGTGACAAAGTCAGGTGACAAACCAGAAGTGCAAAGGAACCAGCCACACCAAGAGGCCCCTGGTATTCCCGCTGTCTG